TATAATGAAATATACGCGCAAAAGAAAGAAATAAAGGTTTTTTATTTGTCACGAAAATGGTTGCAACCGAAGGATTAATTATTTACTTTACTTTAGACTGAGCTCAGTATTATAATTAGACTCGAACTGAATTTTTTAATGTCCTTTCAAAAGGCGAGGAAGTCGTCCTCTCACTTGTTCTCGTAATCTCTGCAAGCTGTAATAGCAGAGAATACCCTTGAGAGGATTGATTATTTCTCTCGTAACGGTAGACGAATGTCTAACGTTCACTTTCTGTAATGGAGAGTCTAACGTTTTCACTCGAGTATATTTAAACAGGTTACCTTTTGATTGACGATAACATCACATAGGATGTTCACACAACGAGTATATATCGAAATTCCCAAGCCTTATCTCTCTCATTTATCCAAGACTTCGAAAGGGCGTTTTAATTCCTGTCGAAAAGGCTTTCTTGAACGTTCCAGAAAATGGCTGCCTTCCTTCGTTCCACGTGCCGGCATGGCTCGCCGGGACGTATCTCACTGGCTTCCTCTTGGTGACGATCGTAGTTGTCCGTATCTTTCGTCGATTTTATACGATAAATAGTAATATTATTACTGCACACGAAGAGGCAGTTTTCAGCGACCGCACAAATTTACTGCAGAAGGATGACGCAATTACGTATCGAAATTTAAGTATCACGCACGAGGTATCATACAGGTATCATGTCTGGGAGACGAATGCTCGCTCGTCCGGGCTACGCGCCCCTCCCAACATGCCCACGCAAGCGCGCGGGAAGCCCGCGCTCGGCCGTTCTCGAACGCCTGGATTACTACGCGGTCGGGACCTATTTCGCGCATAAACATTCGCGCGTTCCGACCTACCGCAAGACGAACGCCATAGATGGCTGTACTTATACAATCTCTCTCTCTCTTTATACGTTGACTTCAAACAAATAACTTAAATTTTTTATTACATATACGTCGCACGTTGCTTCGCTTTCGGCTTCATTTACTTTAAACCAGTTCGATATTTCTGATTTATCTGTTATAACGATTGTTACAATTATTTTCGTCTTCTATTGTAGACGGTTAAATACTAAGCGCGGTACAGAAATCGCGTTAACAAGCGTTTGAAAAACTGCTCAGCAAAACAAAGAGAGAGGGATGGTTTATTTACTTTATTTATTACTTAAACTTTTTTTGGATGTATGTAAATGTGGATATACGTATAATTTTTTACCCAACATATCATGTCGTACGGCTCTATTTTCTTCCTTCGACTATTAAATTTAAACTTATTTTTAAGTTAAAACACGCAGCGCGTATGACAATTAAAAATGTTGAAGTTAGTTAGATATATGGTAAAAATTAAAAATCAGTTTAGTCTATGAAACGCTCTCGTATGAAATGATATTTCTTGACTCGTACATATGTGTTCCTTTTTCTTTAAGAAAATAACATGTGTATAAATAAATATAAAGAAAACATATAAGTAATAAAATATTAAGGAAAATCTTCTAGAAATACTTTTTCAGAAATATAAATAACTAATGATTCTATCGTCAGATTTAAAAAATTATTTTTTTTTTTTAGTTTTAACTTATTTAAATTTATATAAAGATAACCGGCTTTTTCTTCTAAAAATTAACACACTTAAGAAGCACCTAACAACGAACGATAGACTTAAGTCTACTTTAAATTTTTTTAAACTATTTGTGATTTTTTTCATTTCTGCATTTTATTGGTTTTCTAATTTTTTATGTCCATTTATGACGTCGATGTGTAACGCTAATGTCATCTGTTTCTTCTTAAGACTGTGTTGTTACATGTTATACGCATTATTCTACTGATCGTATGATGTACGAAATATATCTTTTTGATTTATATGACTTGCTTTGATCTCGGTGAAGTTATATCATTTTCCAGCAGATCAAAAATAAAAGGGAGTTCTTGTCGCATGCAGTCGAGTTTTATAGTTCCTGATACTTTTTAGTAATAGTTCTGATGATTTTACCCAAAAAACAGTCGATCGAAAAAATGATCTGCTAACTTCCCGTAGCAGATCATTTTCTAGCAGATAAAGAATAAAAGAGAGTTCTTCTCGCATACAGTCGAGTTCTATAATTCCTGATACTTTTTAGCGATAGTTCTGGTAATTGTGCCAAAAAAATCCATTGAAAAAAATTATTAAAACTTACGTAAATGACGTTTACGGCAGATCTTCGAAGTCGAATGTCTTCTTAACTAGTGACCGGATCGTTTTCGATCATAGAAATTCCTTTTAGAATTCTTAGAGTTCTACTAAAAACGGAACTCCTATCAAAACGTCTAAAACTTTTAAAAAATTTTTTATGCGGTTAGTCGAATTTTACGCGTTGCATCCTCGAAGTCGAATATTTTCTTAACTGGCCATTAAGAAGTTAATATATTATGTCTTGTTCAACATTTAGAAATTAAGTTAAAAGTACCAATACCCGGACATGTACCTATATCTGGACACCTTTATTATTTATAAGTATAACGCGAATTAAAATCAAAGACAAAAATATATTTTTTTGTAGTTTGAAACTTTAGTTATATGGTATCCAAACGTTTATTTCTATAAATTTATATTTTTTTAAAGGTATCCAGACATAGATACGTGTCCAGGCATTGGTACTTTTACCTAGTTTTAAGGATCCGGGTATTAGTACCTTTATACCTTAATTGGATCTGAAATTTAAATAATATCCCTCCACACGAACCGAAATAATTAATAAGATATTTTTTTTTCTGGTATATGCAAAATAAAGATAAACTTTATATTCTACAAATTTAGATTTTGTATTGGACATAATGATTAATACAAAATCTAAATTTGTTGAATTTTTATTAGAGAATTCGATAATTTGTATACGACAATAAAATTAAATCCATATAATTAATTGCATCTTTAAGCTTATCGGTTAAATGAGTTTTGATAAATGATAGCATTTATCTTGTGTTTTTATTAAATCTAGAATTTATTGGTACCTACAGTATATGATAATGAATAGTTCACAAAAGAGTACTTTTTAATAAAAAGTAGATTACAGCGGATATACTGAATAGTCCGAGCTTGTGAAAATATCGTTTTGTTAATGATACCACGTAAATGTAATTTTCAAAAAAGGCAAAAAAAGGCGTTAAGTACACATTTATAATATATACATTATACGCGAGATTCACTTACGTGTACAAGCTAAACGTCTGTTGTTTTCTATTTTGTATACATTGAGTATAATTATGTATTTTTATTTTGATATTTAAAGGCGCACATTACGTCATCGGTTGAAGTTCGGCCGAAACAGCCGTTTATTATAAGTTTTAATACGATATTGTAACACGCGGTTTGACGTGAAAACACGTGAGTTTTCGTTACCGTAGAGAGAGAGAAAAAAAGAGAAAAATCTCGAGATTCCCCGTGTACATAGATTTTTACGTAAATTTAACATTGTAATGACTTAACGCATTTTTATTTTTCGATATTCTCTTTCTATATTTGTAAAGAGTGTACAGAAGAATGGTGCACGGAAAGAACGGTTATGCTGAAGTATAAAAAAATTTAGCTAGATACAGATCTGAAAATAATTTTGTTGCATCATCAAAATAATTATGTAAAACAATCAAACTGATTACTAAAATATCGAAATTTTTACCGCATTATTATCATGCTTCAGCGACCTACTATAATTGTTTTAATGGTGCAACAAAATTATTTTTAAACAGAAAACCGTTTTTTCCGTATGTGTAAATTAAGGGCGTGCATTTCCATGATGCGTGAATAAGAAACTCTGATGCAAGCCTCTGGCTTTCGTTCGCGCTTCACAAAATCGCATTTTGTACCCAAAGTATCGCAAAATTTAGCTAAATACAGATCTGAAAATAATTTTGTTGGTCCATCAAAATAATTATGTAAAACTTAAACTGATTGTTAAAATGTCAAAATTTTTTACAGAATCATCATATTTCAGCGAATTACTATAATTATTCTAATGGTGTAACAAAATTATTTTCAGATCTGTATATTTAGCTAAATTTTTAGATACTTCAGCAAAACCGTTCTTTCCGTGCACATATTTTTATCGGGGTCTAAATATCGCTAATATATATCACTAATGTAAAATGTACATAAAAGAAGCTAGTTGTTACCATTTGTACACACATTAATCTAATAATTTCCTCGTCTGAACGTAGTTGGAATATTATCGAATCATTAGAGAATCTTAATATCTTGAGTTCGACTGATCGAAATTCAGCGGAAAGGCAAATATATATAATATATGAGAAGCTTGAAGAAGTGCAGGGTGTCTACTGAGATTACCCGGAAAAGGAACAGACAGTATCTGAACATTTTTAATCCTTTAGGGGCCTGTGTACATAATTATGCACAAAAAAAAAAATAAAAATAAAAACTTATCAGGGACGTCTTTTAAGACTACCTTATAAATTATAACATTTTACTCCAACGGGATTGATATGTGGCCCTTAAAGGGTTAAAGAAAAAGAAAGTTACGATTAATGGATTAACAACGCGTAATAAGTTAATATTTATTTTAACTGGCTCAGTAAATTAGTGTGATTATGGCATTTAAAATTATCACGTGGACGTTATTTGTTTACTTTATATATTACTTTTTGTGAATCGCGGCAGAAAGGACAAAAGGTTCATGGACACATAGTTGTGTCATGTGTTGGCGCCGAACGACCGACGACACATATAGTTCGCCTAGTTTCGGCGGATTGCACTGATCCCGTTTTGTGGTAGGTCACTGGTAGGCGAGAACCGGTCGTCCCAGTTTTATTCTACAACTGCACGTGATTTCGACGTTCGTTCTGACCATTTTCGTGTTTGCCTTATACCTTACACCGACGGTGTTGGAAGAGAAACGTCGATCATCGGAGGTGTTTCTTCAGGATCCAAACAACGCATTGATGCTCCTGGAACTGAATATGCAACTGGCATCGCCACTCTTCGCGCAGTCATCGATCGCTCTATAACGCGAATTAGGTGAGAAGATGCATTCAAGCGAATGGGTATTTCAACCCCCACTGCTGCGCGGAGTCAACGTGGAGCTGCTTAATCGAAACCTCTGGCAGCAATTTTACGAGAATAATACATCAGAAATGATAATTACCAAGAGCGGTCGGTGCATGTTCCCGTCCGTTCAAATAAACGTAAACGGTTTGGAGAAACGTGAGAATTATTATGTCCTCATGAAGATAGCACCGGCCTCCGATCGCCGCCACAAGTACTGTGGATACCAGAACGGGGGCGAGAACAGCAATATGGGTGGCTGGAGTTTCGTGGGGTCGGCAGAACCGCAACAGCCCTGTGGCTATAGGATTTATAAGCATCCCAAGAGTCCGGCAACAGGGAGCCACTGGATGGACAATCCGATCAGTTTCAATAAATTGAAGCTCACGTACAACATCAACGACCCCAATAATAACGTGGTATTAACATCGATGCACAAATACGTTTCTAGGATCTGGATAGTTCGTTGCTTCGATGCGAAGAACTACAACGAGCTCTTTACTCATTCAACCGCGTTGTTCGCTTTTAAGGAGACGGAATTTATCGCGGTGACGGCATACCAAAACGAGAACATTACTAAGTTGAAAATCAATAACAATCCATTCGCGAAGGGTTTTCGCGAGATGGGTCAGTCACGGTTCAAGCGAAAGCATCATTCGATCGATCATCAGACCCAATCGTATTCCAGTCTCGAAGGGGTCCCATTGACCTACGACTCCGAATCGAATCAGCCGAACGACCCCCCCCCCCCTTTAAGGGTTCCAAGCCCATTAAAGCATGCGATTATCTTTTACTTTAGCCGGGGAGTCGAAGTTGGCCGGCCTTGCAACGTGGGAGAAGCGGACGCGAATCCCGCCACCGTTGCGAGTCGATCCCCGGCGCCGGGCATGCTTGAAACGCAGTGCCCGTGCACTGCGTTTGACATATGGATATCCATTCACGAAATAATTAATTACTATTTATTTCTATTTTAATTTGACACGGCTACTGGGGGCAAGTCTCGTCGAGACCGTGGACATGTTCGGACGTGTTTTGTCCTGAATAATTTTTGAAGATTGCTGATTCAATCAGCGCCGAGTTTGGATTGAATCGTTTGAGTCTGTATTTATTATATTCGACTTGTTCTTGGCCGTTATGTGATCTTGAGGAAGATTAGGTGCCATAAAATTTACAAATAAGAAGAAGAAGAAGGAAGAATAAGGCTATTGAGGGCCACGGCTACTCGTGGCATGAGTCTCGTGCGTCAACAGGCGTAATTGTTTCTATACCCGATAACTAGCGCCTACTCTCGAGGAGCCAGCTACGGAGTCACTGGGTGTCTCCGCACTAACCGAGTCATCAATCTTGCATCGTGCGTGCAGTGCCCGGACCATCCGAGAACCCGGGCGTGAAGATTTATTCTTAACTTCTTCTTATTTACCACGTGTTGTGGAGCAAACGGATTGACAGCCGAGAGCTTTCCAGATAACCGTGCTTTTCTTTGGCTCCGCAACTCACCAGCGATACTCAGGCCCGTATCACTACAGGCTCTTAGAGGCGCAGTCTATTCGCCATTGACGCCACTTGGTTACTGCAGAACGCGCTGGCCAGCCGACATCAGATCTTGCGACCGAGCCGTACTGAATCGGAACAGCCCCATTGCAGCGGTTCAGCGAGACCACTGGAGGTGTTGCAGCGCATGACTTGACTAGGAGAGGCTATATATTCGCATCACCAGACCAGAAACTGACTCTGACTCCAGGCCCAAAGAGACTCGTGCAGAGAATCAATGACTTAAAAACAGTCTGACTCTTTCGATACAAAACAACAGTGCTCGCACCACCGTAGTTTTTAGGCCACTTGAATTTTTGGATTCTAACACGGATTTGCCACTTTTTTCACGTTCCTTTTTGCCAAGATTTACAAAAGGTAGTAGTCTTGCCGTTGTTCGCAACGCGGACGGGAGCGAGGCCGCCGTGGCCAGCGTGATAACCGGTAGTAGGTTCGAGAGGACGAGTACGTGTATACGCGAATCGTTTCCAGTTTCGCCGGCGTGAACTTGCTTCTAGTATTAGGGCCACGCGAAGTAAGATCATCTCTGCTACTCAATATGTCGTTAACCTTTCAGGGGCCTGTGTACATAATTATTTTTTTGCTTTAATGTACATAATTATGTACATAAAAAAAAACAACAAAAAAGAAAAAAAAACAAAAAAAGAAAAAACAAAAACGCAAAAAAATATAAAAAACAAAACAAAAAACAAAAAAGCAAAAAAAAAAAACTAAAAAACTAAAAAACTTATCAGGGACGTCTTTTAAGACTATTTTCGAAATTATAACATTTTACTCTGACGGGATCAATGTGTGGCTCCTAAAGGGTTAATTTAACTAAAACAATGTTAATTTAATTATTAATTTGACTAATCAATGGAGTTAAAATAACATTTGTGTTAAAATAATAAATTTTGACACATGGTAATTAAAAAGAACAAAATGTTATTTAACTCAAGGTATTGGTTTAAATTTTATCTTTTGATATTTAATAGCGTAGGGACAATTATAGTAATTATACCATTTTTTATTTATATAGAGTATATAGATTAATGATTATATGTATAGAATACTTTGTAATTAATCGTAATTGCGAGCCGTTTTATCATACACTGTAAATCCAATTGTGTTATTTATACACGTATAAACGTTTAAAAATAGAACATTTGACTGAAGCTCGTTTTACATGTTTTGTTGCGTGTGAAATCAACACGTTTAATCGTATTAATATGTTCAACCGTGTTAAATGGCATCATTCAAAACGACAAGAAATGTGTAAGAAGAGCTTTAGTTAAAATAACACACTTGGATTTGCAGTGAATTAGCCGTATAGAAATGAATTTCTCATTATTTCATAAAATATTATACATTTTTTTTTTAAAGAAAGTTACGCACGTTGCACGTAACTTTTTTCAACTTTTTAATACGCCACGAATGTCTGTACTCGATGCATTAAATTATGCGTTTTACTCGTTGATATTATTTACGATAATTACCGTTGCATCTTTAATCGATTATATAGGCGTATATATCGATGCTGCGAGATTTATATCAATATTACTCGTATAACGAACTCCCTCCGTGAATATATTTCCGATTTAAGGTCGATTTAGACATAACCGTGCCGTGCCCGTACCGTTTACGGACAGAAAGATTTAGACTCGTTTCACACGTAGGTATCCGGCACCGGACTACCAATGCCGGGTATCCGATCGATTTTCTTTATTTTCACAAATCGGCTATCGGAAAAACGTGTAAATGCTCCCATATTAATTCATATATTTTGCGATCCGATACCCGGCGTCAGTAGTCCAGTGTCGGATACGTGTGAAACGGGGCTTAAGTCGAATGTCATCCGTTGCATCTTCGAATATCTTCATTATAGTGGGCGGATCGCCACTAGTTAGTGGTAGAGTTGCAGGCGTTTTGATGGGAGTTTTAAGAAGATATTCGACTTCGAAGGTCTGCCGTGAATGTTATTTGCGTTTTGATGATGATTTTTAAAAATAATTTTAAAATTTTGCAATTTTTTATTTATCAGGAACTCTAGAACTTTTTGAAAGGAATCAAATGAGCTACTTACAACTATTCTGACTTTAAATCAAACTTTTCTACTTTTTTTTCAGAAAAAAAATCAAAAAATTTTTTTCTTTTATCAGAAACTCTAGTACTCGTCAAAATGGTTCAGATGAGCTATTTAGAACTATTCGGTCTTGAAGTTGGGTGTGAAGTTAGCATTTCATTTTTAACTGAAAAGTCTTTTATTTAATGCTAAAAAAATTTATTCAAATATTTGATTGTGTTAGCGGATTGTGAATCCACAGGAAACTAAACAACCAAACGTTAGAATTAATAAAAATACAACTAAGAGACCATTATGTAGTTATGTGAACTAAATTAACGATTGCAGCCGAGGATGCAAAGTTCGGACGTTTTATAACTTAACTTTTCTAAATGGTTTAATAATGCTTGCGAGAGATGTTAATGCGTGACCTGTTTCGATGATCATAAAAATAATTAGCTGTTTAGCTTAGGCACAGATTTGTTTTTGTTGATCGGATGTTTCTCCTGATTTTAGATGTTTGTGGAAGCCGTTATAAATGTTGACGAGGCAAGGGGAAAATAAACGATCAACCTTATTTGATTAAACAAGATTAATTGATAATTAGCGTCAACAGATTTCTAACAATGTTTTATTTTTAATTAGAAATAATAGAATAAAAAAAGGAAAATTAATTACGGATATAATTAACTAAGTAACTATAACGGACGCGTATTTCATAGAGGAAGCTTTGTTTTCATGAATTTCGTATATGAACCTTTGATTGCGTATAAAGTTGGGTCTAGTCAACTAAATTTAAATAAATTATATATGAAATAGGGGTGAAGAAACCAAAGAAAAGATTGTTTTTTGAGTTTTTGATGCCAATATGTTCAGAGTGTTCTAAAATGTCGAAATATCGCATTAAAATCGCATGTCCGTATGTGTGTGTGTGTGTGTGTGTGTGTGTGTGTGTGTGTGTGTGTGTGTGTGTATGTACAGATTTTAGTATCGTGGTTGCTCTAACTTAGGCAAATATCAAGAGACACGGTAGTGTCTCGCGCCAAGTATACGCTTCGCCCCCCCTCGTTGGGAGAAATAGCTCCCCGCAAGTCCTTCTTTAAGGGCAAGGGGGGGCGAAGCCTTTCCCCCCCCCCCCGAAGCGTTTCGCCCCCCCTCGCCCCTGCAAGTCCTTTTTTAAACTTTAGACGCACTTGTGATATAAAATAGTGTGTGTAACACGTGCGGGTTGAGAATTGGACACGCGTGCGGAGTGGACGCACTTGTGTCCAATTCTCAACTTCCCGCACTTGTTACACAAATAACTAAAGCGATTTCATCAATCGAATATATATTCAAACGTTTCGGCTCGGGATTGAGCCATCTTCAGTGAAATATATAGAAAAGTTAATAGTTACTCCCATTCTCCTTGTTGGACGGTGAGTTTCGAGATTGAAAAATCCCAAAAGACAACATTGACTTTCGAATTACTGTCTGTAACAGATCCAAAACGAACAATGACATATTCAATATTTCTGTCAGTATCTTAATTCAAGTCAATTAACGAGATGTGGTTAAACTCACCCGATAGCCAAAAAGAACGAGAGTATTACAAAGCCATACAGAGTATATATAACGAGTCTTCCGAAAAGATATAACATTCTATGCGGAGACGAAATCAAACGAACATGTCAAGAAGGCGGACGGAAAAATTCTAACGTCAATTTCGTCATGTCACGTTCACAATAACCAACCGTAACAAATAAAATATGGAAACATGAAGGGTCGCCACTATAAACATTTAAAAACTAAATGCAGTGGTACCTCCCGGCACAATACGTACGACAACAATAAGCATGGTTTACAATTTGTCTAGTATAGATACATAAGCGTGGTGAAGAAATTCTGTATCAGTTTGTAAATTCAGACTGTTCTTTTGTAACTTAACGTGCGCCATTTTCGAAATTCGTCTTTTAGATAGAAATCTCTCTTTGTCTAGTATCTCAACGTTCTCCCAATCGAATTCATGGTCAAAATTAATCCTATGTTCCGTAATGACGGATTGAGTTGTAGTATTTCTTCGAATGTGGTTTCTATGTTCAGAGATCCTGGTTTTTAATTGTCTCATTGTTTGACCCAGGTATGAGGCATCACAATTCTTACATGAGATCTTATTGGATCTACATTTTTATTGGATTGGATTGGGAGAACGTTCTTCTGTACTCGAATAAAGTTACGCATTTTATTTAAGCTGAAAAACGAAAGATTGACATTCAAGTCTTTAGTGACGTTTTTAAATTTATCCGCGATGTTAGGGACGTAAGGAATGGTAAACCAAATGCGTT